ATATGCTGACTCTCTGTAAACCGCTTAGAGAGGGCTGAAAGCCCTATGAAGCGGTATATAAGTCTACTGCTATTGCTATTGCTATTGCTATCTAGGTAGCTCAAGGTTGAACTGTGGGGTACTCTCTGAGCTTGGTTGTTTTCTTGCAGACATTTAATTTCCCAACTAGGTAACATCATCAGTGTTAGTGAGTACAGGAGTTTGCTCTCTGTTTATATACAGTCACTTGCTTTGCCAGGGTTGGGGGTGTTGGGATATGATTTCTGACAAATCAGCCATCAATAGATACATAGAGGTACTAAATCACATCTGCACACCATTCAAAAGAGACATTAAAAAGCTAAGAAGGAAACAAAAAGACCAGAATATCCAGTATCCAGAAACCAGCATCCAGATAAGCAGGTATTAACACCAGACAAATAATCAAGTAGAAAACAATACTCTAATCAAGAAACTGCCTGCCAAGGAGAAAACCATATCCTCACCAGTGGCGGGTTTGTACCAGTTTTAATCAATTCACTGTTGCGCACGCAGGCACTCTCACGGCATGCATGCGCAGAAGCATCCGTGTGGGTGGAGTCTCCCGCCGCCACCACTACCAGTTCGGCCAAACTGGGGTCGAACCAGGAGCAACCCACCTCTGATCCTCACCAACATTGCAGGGCAGTTTATAGTATATAAACGGGAAACAAACTCCACATTCAGTAGCACAGATGAAGTTACCTAGTTAGGTAAAGACATGTCTCCAAACAAACAAACAAACTCAGCACCAAAGACTTTGCAAACTTTGTGATGGAAGTACTGCTGGAATTTGTTCTTGCAAAAAATAGGGGATTACTACTGCACCTTAACCTTTCCAGCAGTAAATAGACAATGCCACTGAGGCAGAGACCGGTTATGTAGACCTGGTTATGTGTTGGTGTACTTTTGCACTGGAAAGGAAGGAAGTCCATTAAACTGTTTTTCTGTATGGATTCTCTTCTATATAAGGCTTCAGTTTGGCTTCTTGTTTTTATAGACAACTTCTAGGTTCTCTCAATGTGAAGGATATCAGTGTGAAGATATTTGAGGATTTTACACGGACATGGATATGGATTCTCATGTGAGTACTTCTTGCCCTAATAGGAAATTGTTCATGGGGGCTGAGGAAATCAAGAGGGCTTTGTATATGTTGTGTCGTGTTATGTTATGTGGTGTTATGTGTTATGTGATATTATATCATGCCATGCCGTACAGGGGCGGGTTCTTGCCAGTTCTAACCTCTTCTATAGAAGAGGTT